GATTTACAGCAGTTCTCTCGGTTTTCATGAAATCTCAAGATTGCGGTGGCACAGTAGCAGTGTTTTAGCTACTGAGCCCAGGGCTCGTCCACTTCCACTTGCTTTCCTTTTATAGCCTTTTCTTCCTTTTGCTTTTTCTTTCTTTAAAGTCTTCTCTCTTATCTGTTTGCCTCGGTTGCAGAAGCGGCATCTGCAAGAGTGTACACTGAATGGAATGGTGGGCGATGATGGTGGCCAAGTAAATGACCAAGGAGAAGGGGCATCTGGTGGCAGTGGCAGCAACACCAGGACAAGGCAGACACGGCTCCATCAAAGCCCGAGGTCTCCTGGAAATCGAACAGCAACCAGTCCCAGGCTTAATCCCCTGGTCCTGTTTCGCAGGCTGAGCCAAAGCTCCACATCCACAGCTAGGCCCGGGCGCCTGATGGCATGCCAGCGACAATGGCAAGTTCAGTCCCAGCAGCGGCGGCTGTATCGACGAGGCTGGCCCAGCGTGAACTCAGGGCGGTGGTGGCGTTGGTGAAAGCAAGATGGCACCAGACAGTGACGACTCTTCCAGCGGCAGCAGCATGGTGAAGCACAGTTGCAACAATGCAGTCAGTTTAGCAAGAGGGACTCCAGGCAACGGGATGCAGGAGTCCGAATGCAGGCTCATGGCTGAGCTAGAAGTGGTAGCTGTTCCAAAGTCCACCTAACTTTATTGAGATAAGGCTATAAGATGAACTCTATTGTTTTATTTTCCTGGCTTTATATTCTGTGTTTTGGTTTATTTTCTGTGTTTTAAGATGGCACCAGAGAGTTCCAACACTAAACAACACTTTTCACTTTATTTGTAATAAATACACGTGAGAATAAATCAAATCAAATATCTGCTTTCTCATTTCAATCATGCAGGGATGAATAACCCTAGCCGACTGCACAACTGTGTATTGTTAGAATTATATATTGATGAGATTGGATGAAGTATGAAGGGTAGAAACAGTTGAAGGTGACTGTTAGGTCAAATGGTCAGTTTCTGTGCTGTAAATACTATGTAAACCATACAAAACCAAGCAGCAGTGACTAAGAATAATGAGGGAAAGTACTGGCAAAGAAAGGAACAGAAAATGTTGAAAGAAATAATTGCATAAAACATAACTTGCCAAAAATTACTGCCAAGTTATTGCACATATATATGCAGAACAGTGGTCTCTCTGCAGCCAAGCTTTCAGGATTCTCGATGCACCCATATGTACACTAGGGTGGGAAAGAGTCCACCTGAAAGTATGAAACTGTTATTTAAGTAAATGTTGTATGATAGTGAAGTTCACAATTCCCTGCGGCAACATTACTTTGGGCCCAAAATTAACACACTGCAAAAAAAGTTTGCAAGGTCTCCAATTAATTCATTAACATTTTACATGAGCTAATAAATTATAGGAGAGAGAAAATTTGGACAACTATCTCATGCAGCAAGGACAGAGGAAAACACATTTCATTTGTTATCAGAAATGGTCTTCTTCTGGTCAATGTACTTTGGAAGTATCTGGTTGGTGTAGACGTGATAGTAAAAGCATGAAGGAACTTCAAGGCTGATGGTTAAGAAAAACTTACTACTGCTTGAATGCAATCTCCTGATATAAGAAAAAAGACTTGATACTCACTGTGAAGTGGTGACCCAGAGGGGCTGCTTGAGAGAGCCGCCACTGGACTGCAGCGCCCACCCTGTTTGGTCGACAGCTCCTGTTCTATATCTTCCAGCCCGGCACTCTTCTGAAATCGACTCACGCGATTCACCACACGGGGAGACATGTGTGTTCTAACAGAAGGTTGTCCACCATAAGGATTTACTGGAAACACATGCGAGGTACCCCGGAGTGTGCTAATTACTACCCAGCGACAGTCCTGGCTGAAGCAAATATCTTGCACCTACAACACAAACACAGAAATTACAGCTGCAATATTATTTCCATTACACTTTTGAAGAAATCCTTCGTAGGCAAGTTGGGATGAATGACGTGGCTGTATAATTCCATGATTCTAACTGAATTAATTAGACTTTCCTGCTTAACAAAAGTAATTGAGCCATGTGAAGAGCTGAGAGATGTTTTGATGTAATATGATGTTGTTTGAATGCAATGAAAGCATTGCCCTGATATTCAAATGCCCTAAAGAAGAATAAATGGAGTCACTTTTGCTGAACATGAATTTCTAGTTTAAAGCCTTCACATCAGGAAAATGTCAAAAAATAGCAGGGATGCTCGTTGCCATGATTTTCCACATACACTATTAACGCCCTCCTGATTTAAAAACCTCTATAAGGTCACCCTTCAGCCTCCTATGCTCTACAGGAAAAAGGCCCAGCCTATCCAGCTTCTCCTTATAACTCAAACCCTCCAGTCTTGGAGCCTTGTAAAACTTTTTTGCACCCTTTCCAACTTAATAACATCCTTCCTTCCTATAGCTGGAGCATTGATATGGTGAGTAGCCAAGGTCTTTTCCCCAGGGTAGGGGTGTCCAAAACTAGAGGGCTTAGGTTTAAGGTGAGAGAGGAAAATTTAAAAGGGACCTGAAGGGCAACATTTTCACACAGAGGGTGGTGCGTATTTGGAATAAGCTGCCAGAGGAAATGGTAGAAGCAAGTAGAATTCAAACATTTAAAAGACATTTGGTCAGTAACATATATTGGAAAGGTGTAGAGGAATATGGGCCAAACACATGCAAATGGGTCTAGTTCAGGTTAGGAAAACTGGTTGGAATGGACGAGTTGGGCCAAAGAATCTGTTTTCATGCAGTATGACTCTATGACTCCGGCAGGCAGTTTGAGCTTTAACACATACTTATCAGCTGTGCTTCAGCGGGGAGCACTTTTCCCTCTGAGTTAGAAGATTGTAGACTCAAATCCTCCTAAAGAATTTGAGCATGAAAATCTAGGCTGACACTTCCGAACAATACTGATAGTGTTAGAAGTGTAGACTTTCGTGTAAGGCATTAAATCAAAATCTTAACTCCCTCAGGTGGTCTCAGATGGATGTAAAATATCCAATGGTACTATTTTGAAGATCAGTTATCTCCAGTTCCCTCATTTCAATACTTATCCTTCATTCATACAGCTGTGTGTGGGATCTTGCTGTGCACAAATGTCATGTTTCCTACATTACAACAGTGACGACAGTTTAGAAGTATTTCATTGGCTGTAAAGACATTGGGAAATATTGTAATTGTGAAAGGTACTCTTTAATGTGAAGTTTTCTCTTTCTTTTCGCTGAACATGTAAAAATGAGAAAGCAATGATGTCTACAGTACAGGAGTATAATAATAAATGAAGAAATTAAATGCACCGAGTGATCAGTCCCCAAAAGAAGTGATACCATAGATGGCAGATTCAACAGCAAAGATTTTATAACAGTGAATGAAAGGCCATTTGAGACTCAAATTGTTCAATGCATCACATGCATATGTTTGATGTCTCAAATTATCAACAAGGCAGTAAAGGGAACTCTGAATCTCAGCAGAAGACTGGACAGCCAGGAAGTATTGAACCTTTATTACACCTGATTTGATATGCATTTACACTTCAATGTGCTGTCAACTGAACAGCAGCCAGGATTCAGGGTTCAATGATCCCTAAAAGCATCTACAGGATGCGTTTGGTACAGGCTGATTATATTCCCTCTACCAAAGAGTTTGCATGAAATGTTCTATATGTAACGTCTATAAAGAACAGTGTTCTTGGTGCTTTATGCAACTAAATAACAAATCTAGAAACAGGAATTCCACAAAGCCTATTTTTAAGCGTAGAAATCACAATGTTAAATTACTCCATACCCAGTTGGGTGTTGCAGGCAGACACATCGTGTAAAATTCCCTGCTTATCATCATAATTACAGATTCCAGACCAGTACTGAAAGCGCTGAGTTGGCTGCTTGCACAGAAGGGGACCCAAAAGCTTGCAAGGTTAGTATAGGTTGCAGCTAATCAGCACTTCTAAAGGGGACAGCACTGAGTTAAAAGTGTCTGCTAGAAGGAAGGAGACCGCAATGGAGGAATGAGCTGGTTCGAGAAATGCACAATGCTGAAGACGTTAAGTGATAGAGATAGAAATGAGGAGATGGGTAGTGATTTCACATGAGGAAAGCAAGTGGCCATTGGCCTGAATTCCCCTCGCCTCACCTCATATGCATGGTCAAGGTCAGTGAATACATCTTCAAATGACATATCCTACCTCCTGGACTACCAACCTCTCATGCTACCCAAAGCCTCACAGCCCTATTAAAAATCAGGATTGTGATAATACTATGGCTTTAAGAGGTGTATTTTGTCCTGATTTTTTTAATGAAGAAAGTTTGAGACAGAGGTGATCAGCAGTCTGCTCCAAAGCCAATAACGTTAACAGCAGTGAGGCCTTGAGGCTTTTTCTTTAAAGTTGGAACAATAGTGGCAACCTGAAAGGGTGGGGTCAAGCTCCCAAAAAACCAGGATTTATTTTTAGTTTTAGCTTTCAGTAGCAGCTGCTGTTGGGGTCTTGGAGCTGGATGTGGAAAGCTGTTTCTCCTCTCTCTGTAACAGCTAAAAGCTGAGGATTCTCTTCCTGCTGCTCGAATTGCATGTGAGACAATCTATTTTACTGAATTTGCTTTGCCAAGGATGTGTTTATGGGATGTTGCCACCCCCAATCTGCATTCCCCAGTTCCTGCCTAATATTGTCGATGTTAGTCTTCTCCCAATTTAATACTTTTCACCCGAGGACTACTCTTATCTTTACCCATAAGTAACTTAAAACTAACAGAATTATAGTCACTGTTCCTGAAACGCTCCCCTATGAAACTTCGATCACCTGGCCAGGCTCATTCCCTAATACCAAGTCTCATATGGTCCCTTCCCCAGTTGGACTATTTACATATTGCTTCAAGAAACTTTCCTGGATGCTGTAACAAATTCCTCCCTATACAAGCCCCTGGCACCAAAGGAGTCCCAGTCAATACAGGGGAAGTTGAAATCACCCTCCACAACAATCTTGTTGTTTTTACATTTTTCCTCTATCACCTGCTGGCTATTGGAAGGCCTGTCATACAACCCCATCAAGGTGATTCCATCCTTCCTATCCCTCAGCTCTACCCATATGGCCTTTCTGGATAAGCCCTCCAAGGTGTCCTCCCTCTGTACAGATATGATATCCTGTCCAATCAGTGATGCAACTCCCCCACCTCTCCTGCATCCCTATCTCACCTGAAACATGCAAATCTCAAACCATTAAGCTGCCAGCCTTGTCCCTCTCTAATCCTAGTCTCTGTAATAGCTACAACATTGTAGTTATATGCACTAATCCAAGCTCAAAATTCATCTGCCTTACCTGTAATACTCCTCACGTCAAAACAAATACAATTCAGATCACTAGTCCTACTGTGTTCAGTAACCTCTCCCTGTTTGTTCTTCTTCTCAGTCTTACTGGCATTGGTCTCTAAACTGTATCCTTAAACTGTGAATCCTAGTTCTGGACTCAGAGATAGCAAGAACTGTAGATGCTGGAGTCAGAGATAACAAAGTGTGGAGCTGGAGGAACACAGCAGGCCAGGCAGCATCAGAGGAGCAGGAAAGTTGATGTTTCAGGATGGGACCCTTCTTCTGACCCTTCTACCTAGTTCTGGACTCCTTGATTATCAGGAAAATCCTTCCACTATTCACACTGTCTAGTCCTGTTAAAATTTTATAGCTTTCTATAAGATCTCCTCTTATTCTTATAAACTCTAGTGAGCATAATTCTACCCATGTGGAGTTCTGAGGAAGGGTCACTTGACCCAAAACGTTAACTCTGACTTCTCTCCACAAGTGCTGCCAGACCTGTTGAGCTTATTCAGCAATTTCAGTTTTTGTCTCTGATTTACAGCATCCGCAGTTCTCTCAGTTTAATAATAAATTAAATATTTAGTATTTAACTCACTGCCACTTCTCTTCTAGTATGTCCACCTTGAAGAAGTTCTGCTCCTCTCTCTGATAGGATTTCCATTCCAAGCTTTTTTCTTGACAACCGTCATTAATCTCACCGTTGCTCCTGGTGTTTGACCAGGTATTTGTTAAAACCCATTTCCACAGCCACATCACATTCCTCGGTGACTGCCTCCGGCTCAGACTCACCTCCCATGGATTCCAACTCAAGTTTCATCCCTTGTGCTTTGAATCCACCCAGGATCAGAGGTGTCTCCACAATGTTAGACTTTCCACAGACAGCTGGTCTCACCACATCCTGAGATCCACACTCAGTGCCATGCGTTTTCACATGCACACTCTCGACCTCTCTCTCCAACAGCCTCGAATCATGCTGGCTCAGGGCTGACCCACTCCCCAGTTCCACTTCATCCTCTGACTCATTCAATGTGCTAATAAAAAACTTTTTCTTTTCCTTTCAGGCAGATCTGAGGAAGGGTCACTTGACCAGAAACGTTAACTCTAATTTCTCTCCACTGAAGCTGCCAGACCTGCTGAGCTTATCCAACAATTTCTGTTTTTATCTCTGATTTACAGCATCCACAGTTCTTCAGTTTTTATAATTCCAATCAATCCAGCCTCTCTTCATATTTCAGTCTTACCATCCCAGGAATCAGTCTGGAGAATCTTTCCTACACTCCCTCCATAGCCAGAATATCCTTCCTCAGAAAAGGAAACAAGAACAGCACACAACATTCCAGGTGTGGTCTCACCAAAGCTCTGTGCAATTGCAGAAAGTCATCCTGCTCCTCTACTCAAATCTTCTCATTATGAAGGCCGACATACTATTTGCATTCTTCACTGCCTGCTGCACCTGCATGCTTAGTTTCAGCAACTGGTATACAAGGACACCCAGCTCTCATTGCAGGTCTCCCTTTCCCAATCTACTGCCATTCAGATAATAATCTGCCTTCATGCTCTTGTTAGCAAAGTGGATGACCTCA